AGACTACAGAAGGGGGAAGTACTGGGGACTAAAATGGAGCAAGCTATACTATATGCATTTATGAATATGTCCTAATGAACTCCASTATTATATATAGTTATAATGCACACATATATGCATTATAATGTGACTATTCTAATATCTTAAAGCATTTAAGACTACACACACACACACACACACACACACACACACAGCACAGCAAACTGGGTGTGGAGGCACATGCCTATAAAATTCCAGCCCCTGAGGAGGATGAGGCAGGAAGATCACAAGACTGAGACCAACCTTGGCAAGTTGGAGTTGGAGGCCAGCCTGAGCAATCTTGTGAAGCTCTGTCTCAAAAAAAAAAAAAAAAATTAGAAAGGGATAGGTAAGTGATAAGAACCCCTGGAATTAACCTTCAGCACTGCAAACACACAAGTAAACAAAAACAAACAAAAAGCAGCATGATACTGGTATAAAAAGAGACACATAGACCAATGGAACAGAATGGAGAGCCTAGAATTAAATCCACATACYTATGGCCAACTGATCTCTGAGGAAGGGGCTAAGAATAAGCCTTGGGGAAAAGATAGTCTTTTCAATAAGTGGAGCTAAGAAAATTGAATATCCTCAAGCAGAAGAATGAAACTAGATGCCTATCTCTCACCATACCCCCAAATCAGCTAAAATTGATTAAAGATTTACATGTAAGACTTGAAACTATAAAACTACTACAAGAAAACAGGCGCAATGCTTTAAGACATTGGAATGATTGAAGGTTTTTTGGATAATAGTTGAAAACATAGATGACAAAGGAAAATTATGGATTTATAGCAAACTAAAAAGCTTCTGCAGAGCAAAGGAAACAAGGAAGAATATATAAACCACAAAATGGTAGAGAATATTTGCAAACTACACATCTAATAAAAGTTTAATAAACAGAATTGGTAAGGAACCTTTGTCATTCAATAAGGGAAAAACTATTCGAAATTGGGCCATTGACTTAAATAGACATTTCTGGGAAAAGATATACAAATATATATATATAATGTTCAACATCACTAATTATCAGGAAAATGCAAATAAAAACCACTACATGATAGATATCACCTCATTTTGATTAGAGTGAACAGTATCAAAAAGACAAAACTTAGCAAGTATGAAGTTGGGAAGAAAAAAAAATTCTTACACACCATTGGTGGAAATGTAAATTAGCAGTACCATCATGCTATTATGGAAAAAAGTACAAAGCCCCTTTAAAAGTTAAAAGTAGAATGCCATATGACCCAACAATTCTACTCTTAGGTATATACCCAGAGAAATGAAATCATATGTTGAAGATACACCTGAAATCCCATGTTTATTTCAGCACTGTTCACAGTAGTCTAGAAATGAAATCATCCTAAGGGTTCATTGATTGATTAGTGGATAAAGAAAATGTGATAGATACACACAATGGAATACTATTCACATAAACTGGAAGRCAGGGCTAAGTGTGGTTATCTTTGTATCTTTCACATACAAATTTAATTTTGTATGTGAAATATATTGATATACTAAGTTTAACTTAATTGATATATTAAATTTAATTTTTAATACTTTTTACTTTTACAGTAAAGTGTTAAAATTAAATTTAATATATCAACTAGTGAAATCCTCTCATTGGTGATAACATTAAAAGGACTGAAATGAAACATGCCAGACACAGACAAATACCACATGATCTTACTCATCTTAAAAATGGAATCTTAAAAATGTTGACCTCACTAGAAGCTTAGAATAGAATGGTGGTTACCAGAGGCTGAGGAAAGTAGAGGGGTTGAAGAACCAGGAAAGTTTGGTCAACTGATACTGTTATAGTTAGGAGAAATAAGTTCTGGTATTTGCAGTAGGGTAAYATAAGATATTAATAATGTTTTAATGTTTCAAATAAAGAAAAGATATTAAATGTTTTCACCACAAATGATAAATATTTGAGGAGACAGATTTGCTTTCCTTGCTTTGACYCTTATATAATGTATACTTATATTGAAATATCCATGGTACTCTCCATAAATGTGTACAATTTTATGTATCCATTAAAAATGAAACAGGAAATCATCAATGTAACAATGAAATAATCAACAAGTGAATACTATGAAGTATTTGTAGATAAAACCTATTAAGAGTAATTCATTTCTACCCAGTGAAACAGTAAGTGAAACACTTTGCTTTCAAATATGGAACAATGAAAAATCATACCCATTTTCTAATTCCTCTATGAAATCATTCTGGTACCTACTTTCAGAATAAAAGATAAGAACATGATTTATTATATTTATTATATATCTATATTCTTCTAACTTATGCTAATTTATACTMTACTAATCTGTACTAATTTTAATCTATTATACCAATTTTCAATGGTCTTGCAAATAAAATTATCTATAATTCAGTTAATTTTAGTGGTAAATAATGCTGATTATAAGCAGTTCATTAAAAGATAAAAGTAGTTTCTGTTTTCATAGTACAAAACATAAGAATGGGTTACTGGTCAACTACAGATTAAACATTATCATTCTTTATTCAACATACATCTAACAATACCTGACATTTTAGTTGTACTTATTACAAATCAGGAAAGTTTAATAATATCAGTCAGTATTATTTTCTCATTTGCTGTTAGATCACAAATGAGAAAATATCACATAGGCAATGTTTATCCATCTAGCAGGCAAACGGGAAAATAGAACCCAGGCCTAGAGTCTTCCATTGGTACTCAATCAAGTCTCATTATTTATTGTCTTCTGTCTGGGAAGTCCCATAGAGCATGAAGTATTGATTTAGGAATTTTCTGGACATGATTGTGTTGCAACTTGTTCTTTTATATCACTTCTTAATATATGATAAATTGTTCGTATGTATGCTATGATGAGGCTGAAAAACAAATTAAGCCTGGCTATTTAATAAACATGGATTATAAACACTCAACTACCTTCATAATTACTATCGGGGGTCCTGACATTCATTCCATGGTATGAAGGACTGCAGGGTGCATTGTGCACATCTGTGTTGAGCATCTTTACCTCACAATGGCACAGCCTCTCTGCACCCCAGAAGGCCTGATTCCAAGTGGAATTGGGTGAGCCTGGGTGTTCCTCCTGATTCACCTGGGGATTCTCAAAGCCATGACTGGGGGAGGGGCTTTAGATACTGGGGAGGGTCTTAGGATGAGCAGAGAAGGAGTTTGTCAGAAAGATCAGGAGTTATTCATGGCCAGAGGACAAGAGGAATCTGGACGAATTATGGAGAAAAAAAAATACAGTAAAACAGGAAGGATGGCAGCATCAGGTATTTCATCTGCTGAAACCCTTTGCTCTGGACATGTCCATATAATACCCAATACTAGAAGTGAGGGCCACACATTAGTACATGTCTTTAGTATTTATTTGTTTGATTCACTCAGTCAGCATTCCCCTTTTGAAGCCTCTAGAGTCAGACTGCCTAGTTTCCAAATAGGCTCAGCTACTCTCTGGGAAAGGGATCTTAAGCCAATTGCTTATCCTCCCTTGGCCTCAGTTCCTCCTCTCTAAAAGAAGCATGAAGTATCTCCATGGGGAGAGCCTGCCTATGAATAGACACCATAGTGAACAACACAGAGCCAAGAGAGGGAGAAAGAAGTCTCATGGTTTGAGTTTCTGTTTCCAATCTTATCTCAATGGAGTGTGCTCTTTGGATCTTCTGATTTTTATGAGGAAATTGATTCTTAAACCAGTTTGTGTTGGATTTGCAACCAATTTTTAATGTCTAATACAAATCTTCTTCAATTTGACTTGGATCATATGAATCTCTTTGTTATCTGTATAGAGTCTTATACACAAAAGAATATATGTTTATTAAACATATAAATGATCTAAAATTTATAAAAATTCTAAAAAAATACATTAATTTAATCACTTGTGCATCAACATATCATCCTAGGTAATTCTAATTCAACGTAAGTGTGTCTTGGCACATGAAGCAAATTCTTCTGTAGAGAAACACATTAGTCCAGAGGACCTTGTTGAATGAATAGAATTCAGAAGAAAACTGCCAGGAGAGGCCAGAGATTCCAGATTCCGTAGGAAAGAACTAAGTTCTTTTCAACATAAGCATCTCAGTGATCATCTGCTCTGTTCCTTAACTTCCCTGAGCACCATTCTTCCGTAAAAGGTGGAAAAAATAATATCTACCTTACAGCTCAAAGGATCTCATTTATAGGACTAAAAAGGACACAAATGCTGTTTGTTGTTCACCTCCCCTCCAGATACCTGGGGTTCAATTGGTGATGAATATACACCTGTCATATCAAGTACCTACAGGTGTTAATTTTTCCCCCTACTTAAATACACAATGGGAGTCACATTTCAAGAAGATCCGTGCAAACATACGCGATCACATTTGGATCTGGGGTGTGATCTTTGGTGGAATATTCAGTGTCCTCCTCAACTGTGAAAAGAATGGTTTCACTGGCATTTGACCCCTAAGGTTCCCTTCAGCTCTGCATTTTTTTTTTTTTTTCAGGGCTCCAGAGGGTAACTGTAACGCAAGTTCCTAACAGGGTCTTTAGAAGGTTTTTCCTGCCTTTTTGTACCTGGGAGCAGCCGCTCCTCACCTCGAGGTGTTCTTGGTGGGCGTGGCGAGAAGCACCTGCTCCCGGGCTTTCCTTGAATCTTGCTCCAATTTGCTTATTTTAAAGGAGTAGTTCTGCAGTCTCCTAGCTATTCCCTCAAGTGTGCTTTATGAGATCCAGTGTCAGTCTCCCGGTGGTAGCTTTCAGGTCCCGTTACAATTCCCTAGAGCTCCGAGTGCGTGTGTGCGGGAGGAGAGAATCGGGGAGAGACAGAGTTGGGGCACGAGGATCTAGGCTCCAGTTACCTGTCCTCACAGTCCCCGCGCAACACCGCCAAGCGCGCGGCGGGGCCAAGGAACGCCGCGGCCCCTTTAAGAGCCGGGCCCAGGCCGGCTCCGGGGCCGCGGGAGCCCAGAGCGCCGCGCGCCGCAGTGGAGTTGGGAGCGGGCGCAAAAGTTTCCTCCCAACTCCGGCCTCGCGCGCCGCCGCCGCCGCCCACTCCAGCCCGGGGCCTGGGGCCGGCCCTGCCACCGTTGCCAGGGCCAGGGCCAAGGCCAGCTCAGGGCCAGGCCGGGCCGAGCCTACGGTTTCACTTTGGCGGTCGAGCAGCAGCCGCCTGGGCCGGGCCCGAGCAGCAGCTGGAGGAGCGGGCCACGAACCGTCGTCACGGCCACCGGCCACCTGAGAGGTAGCCCTTCCCGCAGCCGCCCCCTCCTCGATTCCCACCCGCCAGCGGCCTCCTACGTAGGTGGAAGGGGAGCTGCCGCGAGCCCCTGTCCCCGAGGGGTCTCCGGGGAGAGGTGCCGGGCTCCCGGGCCGCCAGCGCCCGGCGATCCCCCGAGTGGGGGCTGCATCCGCGGGGCCAGACACCTGTCGGTCGGACCCGGCGCGGTAGACCGGAGCCAGGATGAAAGTAACTGTGTGCTTCGGCCGGACGGGCATCGTGGTGCCCTGCAAAGAGGGCCAGCTGCGCGTCGGGGAGCTCACCCAGCAGGCGCTGCAGCGGTACCTGAAGACCCGGGAAAAGGTGAGCGCCGCGCGGTGGGCGTGCAGGCAGGACCCGAGAAAGGGGGCGCGGCTGCTGCGCGGGCTACCCACGAGTGCCCCGAGGCCAGTGCACCTGCCAGGTGCTCTGAGACCTGAAGGCGCTGTTAAGGAGACGCACAGCACCCAGGCGACTATTGGGCTCAAGTTGTGGCTACAACTTTGATGTGTTGCTAACATAAGTGACTCAGGTGCCTTTGGGCGTTTGTGTGTGGAATGACAGCATCCCATCGCCCTCAATTGCCGGCTCCTTAGAAATAAGCAATCTGGGACTCCAAGCCAAACTCACTAACTCGTTGCTCTTTAATATGATTTCCAGGTGATTGCACTACCCTAAGAAGTTTGAGACTCACAGGTTTAGAACTCTTTTGCTGGGACACTAGGTGCTGCTCACTTGAAGTGTGATTTTTGACCCCTTAAGGCCCGCCTCACTTAGGCTCCGTGGAGTTAGAAAGTTTATTGGTGCAAATAACACTTACACAAAGTTATAACTGATAAGGCCTTTGGAGTTTCAGCCTCATGAGCTGACCTCTTAAGGATCTGGGTAGGGATTTAGGTGGAAGGATGCCATTTGCCTGCACCAATCAGTCTACATTGAACGCGTTTTCAGTTTAACTGTAGATTCTATGAGCAATTACTAGGTGAGTCCTGCCTGGTCCTGAGTGACTATTAAAATGAGGAAGATGCCCTCAGCTCTGTCCCTGAAGTCAGTAACAAGTAAAAATTAACTTTCTTTAAAATAATGCAATACATGTGCAGAAAATCTAGCTATGTTCTAGAATTCACTCAGGTGTTTGGGTAATATGTGCCTTTGTGCCTTTCTTAAATGAGCACTTTGAAAGATATCTTTTACTTTGTTGAATTCTCACATGGAACATTTTATATGCCCCAAATCCTCTTCAAGCAGGGCAAGTCACAAACTCTTGTTTTAGGTGCCAGCGGTTCTCTTGATATTTGTTCTCATGTTATGGGATTACCTAAGTAGTGTACATTGGCCAATCTGGGATGGAAAAATGTAAGTCTTAATTTCTTTTAAGGTCATAGGATATCCAAAGTAATCAARTAGTTTTGTTTCTTTCAAGTATATAGTAGAGGAATTTAAGAAATACCTGTACCTTCTATGCTTCCACTATGAATTACTCTATAGAAAAATCTGATTCTGGACAAATACATGTGTATTTTACTTTGAGCATCAATAACTGGAGGATAGTACAGTGAAAGGTTTATTGGGATATTAAGTATAATCTGTGAAGCTGAACTCTTTGCTGATAGAATTGAGATGAGGGRAAAAATTTAAGGTGGTCTATAAAGCAATATGAGAATTCACCCCTTAGCATTACTACATTAGCATGTGTTATTTATATATGTCAGTTAAAAACACATCTAAATGTGTAACCAATTGTTTTTGAAATCATATTTCCTTAACTTCTGAAAGTTGGCTAGGGTTAGGAGTAATGATAATCCTTTAAGATATACTRTTAAGATAATAAATTTATTTTTAATTTATTATTAAAAATAATTTGATCTCCCAACTCTTACACATTTAGAAGTTTACTACAGGGCTAAGTTGTCCAAATATGGAGGTAAACCACAAGCTTCTAAATAACATTCAGAGAACTAACCAACTGATTTTTAATGCAATGTAATTTGATCTTAAAAGGTGTTAAAAACTGTTGGGATTCTGGACTGGAAGAATAATTTATATCAGAGAATGTGCAATGTAATTGCATTGATCGGTTTACTATTAACAGACATTACATTTTTCTGTGTTTACATTTATATGTTAGTGAATGTGACATTTAAAGGTTACCTGCAGCTTATAAAATTTTCCTCATTTTTAGCTTTTAAAGTTTCAATTTGACAAGTGGTGTTTTCCTCCTCCCCATACTCTTTTCCTCTAGTTTCTTTTTAAATAATATAATCATAACAAGGCTCAACTGATAAATGGCACTTACAATGGAACAAAAATGTCAAGAAATACTCTAATTCTCTGCTTTTATTCATTGAATTTTAAAAATAATGGAAAAAGGCCATAAGTGTCAAAATTCAATTAAAAAACAATTTATAATAAATTCACTTTTCTGTAAATTTAGTGAAAGATTTAAAAGATTTTTCCCCCCCTGGACAGCAAAGTTTAAGCCCTGCACTCAGTAACAACTAACGTGTATTGTACTTATTGCATGTAGCCTCTATGCCAGGAACTTTATGTATATTACATGACTTCACTCTCAAAACAATCTTAGAAGGTAGATGTCCCCAATTCACAGATTGGGGAAAAAAGGCATGAATAGTAAATTTGAATTGGATTGCTATCAGTCATTAACAACTTCACCTCATATGTTATATACCAGAATATATGCATCTTTTTACAGATTTTGAAAAGACAATTGCCCCCTACTGATTCCTCAATATAGCAATCCTCCTCACCACCCCAGTAATGGGGATTGAACCCATGGCCTTACATATGTAAAGAAAATGCTCTATAATTGAACTATACCCAAGCCATGGGACATCAACAAATTTCTTTTGATTATATCTTTCATTGTTCAAGTGTACATGTTATAGGGAGAGGGACAACATCTGAAACAAATATTGTAGGATTTTCAAAGCAACTATAATAATAATCCTCAGCCTAATTACAAAAAAAAAAAAAATGGTCAAGATCTTTTAGTCATCCAGGTGGAGAGAGCTATAATGAAGCAAACACAGTGACTGGAACATGAATTTGAGTTTTCCACTTTTGGGGGAAATATATTTTTCCTGAATAATTGATATTGGAGAAAGGTAGATTTTAAGATTAGGATGGAAGTTGTAGTTTCTGAGGTTTAGAAGGTAGGGGAAAGCCCATAGAAGCCCTTCTGGATTTTGTAAACAGCATCAGAGGAGTCACCACCACCTGTTGAGAATAAACAAAGAAAACTGGTATTTGTGGAATGTTGGGAACCCGCTGAATCAACAGAACAGAAGTAGGTGAGATACTTAAGAACCAGGGAACTCTTGGGAAGGCTCTGATGATATTCCGAAATTTGGGACTTTGAGGTTCCTGCTGCCCATGAACTCCCTTAGAGAGGTGAGTTGTCTAAGGGGTGAGAATTACAGGATGCCTTATCTTTGGATCCTGGTACTTTATCAGTGTCCTGGGCTCTAAATCCAATTTAGCAAAGTAGTTAGTGGAAAGGTGATGGTCTTCTTAAGTGGTCAAGATGGGAATCACTGAGTAATTAGTTAAATTTATCATCAAAATTACTGGTGTCACAGGTGAATGGATGATTGAATCACAACCTGTAGGGGTTCTCAATCCAGGCCTCCAATTTTAATGTTTAACATTTTGAACAGGACACATTCCCAAGTCCCTTTTGCCATTTTTTTTTTTTTCGTCCAGTGGGTATGGAGTGGAGGCATAAGTATTTCAAAGAGCACTCCAAGTTATTCCAAGCCCAGCCAGAGTTGAGAACAGGTTATCTAGCACTCATCTTTTGCTTTTGCTAAAGTTAAAACTCCACTTTTAAACTCTTTTGATAGCAGATTCTATGTCTTAGATACCTGTAAACTACCCTTTCATTACATGACTGTCCCTCTATTCTTACCCTGAATCAATTATTTCCTGGGAAAGTACTCAAATTATGAAATTGCACATCATGAGTCCAATTGAATAGGAAGAGACTCCTATAGTAATAAGAGTGTATAGTGTGTTCAGGAGTTCAAATGAGATAAGAAGTTCATGAGCTAGTGAGCATGCTAGAATTTTAAAAATGCAAACGTATGGATCTGACTGTATATATGAATATACTTTTTATTTTAAAATAAATATTTGATAGGCTTTTCAAAATGAAGCTTTTCTGTATTCAGCTATTTTGGAGAATTTGTTTTTATAAGTGGAGACCAGCTTTCCAGAACTTAGAATTCTCTGATAAGACTAACAACTCCATGATTAATTGTGGGATCAGAATGTAAGTGAATTTGTGCAGTAACAAAAATCTCGTATGATATGGTGTGATATTACCCTGGAGAAGTAGGCCCTAACGTGAATTTCTGAACTTTTCAGCATGTGATGCCTTGTTACCTAAATAGGCTCTAAGGTTCTTATGTACATAGTTTAAGTCYAGACTGAATTCCTGAAATGTTTATTGTGTGTTTGACGTACTTAAGTGCTTTATTTCCTATTCAGTCTTCTCCTCTTCTTTTGTATAGAGTAGATGTTCTTCCCTGAATGTGGATAGAACTGTTTCACTATCAGCTCTAACTTGCTTTGGCTTCTGCCACTGGACTAGAGTATTGAAAAGCTTCTAAATTTGTAAACATTGGGATCCTGGGATCTGCTGTGACCCACAGACATATTTTCTTAGGTCTTAATGATCTCTTCTTATTTAGTTGTCAGTGTCTAAAATTGTTGAGATTTCACATAAAAATACAAATTTCGATCTTCTTTTGGGGAAAAACAAATCAGAAACTCTCAATACTGGGCTTTACTTTCCCACATGACAACTATCAGTTGGAACTAAGACACCTCTTTTGTCTTTAGAAGGAATTATTAATGCTCCAGTCTCCATTATTGCCTAGTGAGGTTAAATGATTATTGTTGGGTTTAACTTTTCCCTGTTCTTATTCTCTTACTTATGGCCCACTTAATGCATTGTTGCTATTTGTCTGGCCTCCTGAAAGACACTTGAGTTATGTCCCTGGACCTTCTCTTTCTCTCTTCAACATTTACAACCTGCACACAAGGTTTGCTGACCAGGGGTTGACTGCAATTTGGTTCATTTGAGCTAGGGTAATTGCATTGTGTGGGATTAGGAGCCACAACTCTGATATGGAGGTTGGTATCTTGGGCTCAAATAGCTTAGTGAAGTATTCATTTCCAGGCATTCTGTGTTAGAATCTTTTTGAGGAAGATGGACAAGTGGCATTAGATTTTTATGAAACTGTTTTCTAAAGAGACTGAGAGTTAAAATCATCTGAGGAATCACTTAAAAACTCAGAGCT